GTACCACACAGAAAACAAAGCGTATCCTTCTCCTGCACATCAGACGCCAGTTACTAGTTTAGGACAGAAGAAGAAATCCTAATTATCATAGTTAATTTAACAAACAAGACTAATTATTGTGCAGTACAGATATATCACAGGGGGTGTCAAAAGTTTGGGGACTTTGGGAAGATTTTTTTTTTTTTTAGAAATTAATACTTTTCCACAAGGATGCATTAAGTGACAGTAAAGACCTTTATAGGTTTTTATTTTAAATAAACACTGTTCTTTTGATCTTTCTATTCATCAAAGAATCCTGGAAAATAAATGTATGAAGGTTTCCATGGAAATGTTAAGCAGCACAACTGTTTTCAACATCGATGATAATAATCAGAAATGTTTCTTGAGCAGCAAATCAGCATATTAGAATGATTTCTGAAGATCATGTGACACTGAAGACTGGAGTAATGATGCTGAAAATGCAGCTTTGCATCACAGGAATAAATTGCATTTGACAATATATTACAATAAAAAAACAGTTACTTTAAATTGTAATAATATTTCACAATATTACTCTATTTTTTGTAAACAAATATATGCAGTCTTAGTGAGCAGAAGAGATTTGTAAAAAAAAAGAAAAGAATAGTGTAATTAAAATTATTTCTGTATTTTTAATTAAATGCAGCCTTGGAGAGCAGAAGCGACTTCTTTTTAAAACATTAAAAAATCCTACCGACCCCAAACCTTTGAACAGTATAGCATTTGATTAACTCTTGGTTTTATTCTCTCATTCGGTACTTATATTTACTTAACTAAAATTCACAGACTCTTCCATGCAGCAAAGTAAGTGAGCATTAATATTTCAAATAACTATTAGGCTATACTTATTAACCCTAAATCTATACAAACAATCCATATGCCAAACTAATCTATAGTTTGCCAATTTCTTTCAATATACATCTAAACAATGGCACCCATCATAACTCATGCTGTTCTTCTTCTCAGAGCGTATGAACAAGCCGGCATGATGCTGAAGGTGAGTTGGTCGCGCAGTGATTGTTATGGACGGCCTGTCGTTTTGAGGCATGTCTGAATGTCTCTTGTACGCCGGCAGGACATGAAGAAAATGCCTGAAGCCATTCAGCTGATCGAGAAGGCCAGCATCATGTACGTGGAGAATGGGACGTCTGGCACCGCTGGAATAGCCTTGGACAGGGCTGGGAAGTGAGTAAACAGATCGAAACACTTCCTGAGAGGTTATTTGTGTAGTTTCTCATGTGTAAATAACTATAAT